ACGAGATTTCGAGACATTGAACCTCCACTGCGATGTTCTGTTCACACATGAATAGAACTAATATAGAACAGCCAATGTCCGCCGCAGGCGGCAATTATCGAGATGTCCTTGATATGTCACAAAACTATACCTTCTCCCTAGTTCTTTTTAAAGCCTTTTCATGGACACTAGAACATTTTCAACGCGTCTTGCGCACATTAAGTCGCTGTAAAAAAACCATTTTCGAGGTACTTTTCTGAAGCCTTTTGTCAAAATGAACTTTTGCATTAGGATTCCATCTCCCTTGAATGAAAAAATGCATTAAAATTAGATTGAACATAAAAATATTTTCTTGATATGAAATTACCTTCTTAATCTTATAATTGGAAATAGGTTTCCCAATTTTTGAAATGTTCTCCACAATGCATAATTTTGCAACTGCGGAGAAACTGTGTATTGATGAATTCGTACTTTTATATATTGATTACACTGAGGCACCGAACAACAACATCTTGCATCTGATGGTCATTATTACAAACTAAATAAGTCTTTCTAACACAATAAACTTCACCAAATTTCTTTCTGTTCGTTAGCAGCGTGATGTAAGCGTGACACGCTGCAAACGCGAATGCCAATTGCGAACAAGAAGAACAAAATCGAAAACAAATCAGAATTCATCGTATTGTGACGTAAGCATGAGACGTTGTGGTGGGGCAAACAAAGAAAGGGCACAAAAGAACAAGAACAATACTTTCAATATCCTTCTAAGACCTCTTTGGGAAGTGCATATTACGCCTCAAAAAAACATCCTCATGCCTACATTTCTAAAACATCTCAAAACATCCCAGGGATACCTCTCAGTAGGCAAACAAAGAAATGCCACAGAAGAACAAAAACAATACTTCAATATCCTTCAAAGACCTCTTTGGTCAGTGCATATTATGTCTCAAAATAACATCTTCATGCCAACATTTTCAAAACATCCCAAAACATCCCAGGGATGTTTGTGCTCGCTGGGCTAGGATTAAGTTATACCACGAAATTAGAAAACTATCGCGGTTGTTCTATAAACTTTCGTAGTCAACGACTGGATACATTATTATTGTGATTTTCGATCGATTTTAATGAAAAGAATGAAGGAAATCGAAATTTGGATTTGAGTTTGGGAAATGCAAGAGCTCTTATAATGGATACAATTTCAGATTGATACATAGAGGCTAAAAAAAATTCAAAATATGTGCGTTGGACTAATATTCAACATCAGAAAATATCAAAGAGGAGTTTCAGAAAAATTGAAAGAACTTAAGTGGCTTACAGTACAGACGGTTCCTTGCATGGTAGCACACTGTTTTTAAAGATTATAAATAACAAATTACCTTCATACTTGATGTATAGAAAAATTAGATTCAGAACTCATGTGCACAACATAAATATTAGGAAAAAAGATAATCTAACGGTTCCACACCATAATACCAACTAATATCATAGATCATTCTCTTACGTGGTTTGCAATGTTCTGAATCTAACTTCCTCTGAAATTATATCACTGGTCCCTAATTTCAAAATCTAATTTGTAATTTTCTTATTGAGAACATTCTAATGTGAGTTTATTGTGATAATATTAAGATTATTAAGATTGGTTTTCATTAGTATGATTTGTATATAGGTATTTGGAATAATATATTAGTATGGTGGTTGGTGTCGTATGATTATAGGCATAGCTGTATTGAAAAACAGATCTTCATGCCTCTCTGTAGGTGTGTACAACTGAATATTGTTTTTCTCATGAGCTGAACAATAACATTTAAAATTAACTGTTTTCTTTCCTATGTATTTTCAGCTTATTGAATAAATTTATTATTTTCATTATTATAATTATCAATGCGTTGTTTAAGTCTATTGATTTATACTCGAAAATCAAAAGATTTGAACTCACCCATTAGAATCACTCGAAAATAATGCAACATTCTGAATGCTGAGCTGGTTTTTTGAAAATCAGGTGGAATAGCCCCATAAAAAGATAAAACCTTCATGTTGAAAACGACAACATCCCTACAATTGACGTCGTACTTGGCCATGATTCCAAGAAATGCTATAGCAAAATACGTATGCATAGGCATACCCAATGTATTTATTACCTATGTATGAAAATGTATAGTAGAAAATTGTTTAATTGTATGAGTTCATATTGAAAACATTACTTATTCTTGCAAATGTATAGGAAGAAACTCAGCTAATTGGGAAATAATTGGAGTACTTATAAGTGGTTCATAAAATATTATGATGATGCAATCATAGTTTCTAGGTATAGGTATATTCAGATCAGGTGAATTTAATGCATTGCATCAAGTATTATAGTATGTGCCTATCCATGAACTGTTTAAATTTTTTTTCAAATTTTATTTGAGTATAATCAGAAATGAATGAGCTCACTCTAATATCATCGTCATACTCTGAGACTCTTGCACAAACCCCTCTGTGTTGTAATGAATAAATACAATGCGGTACATTTTTGGATGATTTCTAAGCATTTTTATTCTTCAGACAGTTCCGAAGCCGTTCCAAAGTATTTTCTCTCGGAACTGGATCGATTATTATTAGGAAATTTTTGATCAAATCTAATGCCATCAGTAGATATCTAATAGGTAGGTAATTGTTCAAATGAACTGTTAAGATTTCATTGAAATATGATTTTGAGTCATAGATGGAAAATTCCCATTTTTGCCCATCTTGTATCTAGGAAACGAAGAGCATTTTCGGACCCATATGTTTATACAGAGTGTCCCTAAAAGGTCTGTACAAAATTTTAGCACATATTCCTGAGCTCAAGATCGATTTGAAGCAACTTATCTCAAATACTGTCTGTAGGTTATACAATAGAAAATATGTGAAAAATCGATTTCCATAGGTATAATAACTTTGCGGCAATTTCAAAATTATTGATCGTCTCTGAACAAATAATCATCTTCTATATAATCTATATAGAACCTACCCAAATTGGTTGTAATCACGTACCTATAATAACTGGAATGAAATAGGGAGAATGAGCATATTATTTCACATTTTGAAATCATTGCAAGGATCGTTTTCATCTACGCAAAGGGCACACGATAATATGTAGTCCATAATAAATCACTCAAGTCCTTATATTGGTCACGTGAATCACGTGATACATTTCACACGCATGCTCATCTGTTCGTATCGTAGAAGAACGCCAACGCAGTGGGCTGACACCATGCTATATATTAGCAAACAAGGCACAAATCTCTATTCAAACTTATTAATATATTTTTGCGAATAAATAAAAACGAAAAATAACAAATATCTCCATATATTTGACCGAATTAGTCTCTCTTGTTCGTCAAATATGTAAAAAATTTCATAGAAATTTGATTTCACATAAAGAAGAATCCTAAATTTTTCATTCTGAAATATGGTCTTCTAGGTATCAAACTTCAATTTCCTTTTCATTACATTATATATTCATTTATTAGCATGTTGGAACCCTGAAATATTTTGGTAGGAGGTTTTTGACAGATCCAAACTAAATTTGTATGAAAGTTATGGTCTAAACCTCGAACGTCCACACCCGAACCCACTTGCTTCGCATCGTTGCATCGCAACCTCTCTCTGTCCAACATCTTCTCTTTCGCTCTCCACTGGAAACGTTCGAAACGCTGTTGCATCACTTTCTCGCCGTATGTAGACCGATCTATCCACGACCTACGTCGAACGTTGCCCGGCGACCAGCGAGCGGAAGAAAGTATAGATATCTGAGTGACCCGTTCCCAAGGTCAACACAATGATATGTGCGGTGCGCGCGCCTCCTGCTGCGTCATTGCTGCGTAGCAGGAATCGGCGGCCATTTTGGGGACACTGCAGACCCAGCAGAGTGGAAGCGGATGACTCATCATCGGTTGCACGTTTGTTGCTACGTTGCTACGCAGCAACAGAGCAAATGGGGGGTTTAGCAAGCTTGCTCGGAATGGGTTATCGTTATCAAGGGAAATATAAACAGCTATATCTCGAAGAAAACATTATTATACCTATAGGTAATAATAATAATAATAATAAAATCAACTCTCTAGTTGCTGTAGTCTGTATAATACCTATGATCTTTATTCATTGATAAACTAAGTTGTTTCTTTTGAATGTTTCAATACGTTTCAGTGTTTCTAAAGGAATTTCAAGCAGAACGTTTAATAGGTACATAAAGTAATTCCAGAACATCCAAATATTATATCACTACTGAATGGTGTTATTTGAATGTTCGCGCGGTATAAGTAATTGTATATTATGACATGACAGATGAGTACAGGAAAGTGACAAATGGGTGATATGTCATTAAAGTCATTTAGACCGATACCTATCCACCCGATAATGTAGCAAATAACCGATGAGGTTGAATATGAATATTGTAATCCGAGGCGCAGTATAGGGTGATCAGAATTCTGAATTTTGAACCACCCTGTATTCTTGTCAATTAAATGTCAGTAGATAATAAATCGAAAGTTAGGATATGGACATGAAAACCGTTTTGCATGGTCAATAATGAATAGTTTTCGACACAAAAACATTCCTGAAGTTGAAAAATTCTCAATTTTTCACACCCTATATCTCTGTAATCTTTTTAGCTAGACCCCAGATCGATAGAATCTTCAGGAAGAATCTAGAAATGCAATAAAATACAGGGTGTTCCATTTAAAAATTTATATATCTTGTCCATAACTTTTTTTTTAGATGTTCAATTGTTTTTCTGTTAACATATATTCAAAATCTATAGAAAAAATAATAAAAGTTTGTCCTTTGGAAAAAAAATCGATGATATATAAAAAAAAGGGGGAGTTCAAAATATATTTGAAGACCCTGTAGGTACATACATATGATCCTATTACCAACTACTTATTCTACAACATGAAGTAAATCGTTCCTGAATCAGACTGAGAGTTCTCAAAATAAGGCGGGAGGAAAATTCATGGGAACATCAATAAAACAACGCCGAATAATTTGTTTTCGTTTTTTTATTCCGTTTTCATAAGTCCCATTTGCAATAAAGGCACTACGGCGATGGAAGAGAGATCGGCCAATACGGCTTCAACGTTCTGCAAAGTCGTCACTTTCATCAAATTATCCTTCCTGAATACCACGATGACTACCGCCAGTAGAGGTACGATTTCCAGAGAATCGTACGCCAAAATGAGGTCCCACAAAGTCAGCACTTGCTCGGGCGGTAAGTGACCGCTGAATGCCCGCATTATCCATTTTATCACCACCCTCAACCTGATGGGAAAAACAAAAATAGTTATATTTATACCATATTATTATTATTATTATTACAAAAATGATAAGAGCAGGAGCCAGAGGCTCATAATGCTCAGGATAACAAAGTTATGTAACAATTTGTGCCCTATAGTCTAATAATTGGATGCATTGGATGCTTAGAAAATAGCGAATAAGAGAATAAGAAACCAAGTATGAAAAGTATGAAAAGTACTCAATATGTCGATATTAGTTATTGTTCATATGGTGGTCCAGGCGGCTTTTGAACGAGTTCAGAGATGGAGCAGACACAACTCCATTGGGTAAAGAGTTCCATTGATTGACGACACGGTTGAAGAAGAAATGTTGTCTTGTCGAATTGCGAAAATTCTCTTTGCGCAGTTTGTAGACATGCCCACGAAGCCGAGGGTCCGTATCTAGATTGAAGAAATCTTGACCAATGAAGAAATTGCCGTGCAGGATACGGTATGTAGTTATCAGGTCACCACGTTCACGTCTCGATTCTAGGTAGGGTAGTTGCAGTCTTCGAAGTCGATCTTCATAGGGGATTTTCTTGAAACCACGAGGAATTTTGGTGGCTCTTCTTTGAACTCCTTCAAGGCGATTAATGTCCTGTCTGAGTAGGGGGGACCAGATAACCACTGCAAACTCGAGATGGGGCCGGATGTAAGTGTTGTAGATTTTGAGGAATGCCTCGGGGGTCAGGTCCTGGAATGATTTCTTTATCATGTATAATATTTGGTTGACCTTACTGACGACTTTGGTGACGTGCGCACTCCAGCTTAGGTTTTCAGTGATGATTTATTACCCAAAAGGACCAAGGTTATATCCCGAGGCTTCAGCATTCATTCCACAACAATTTGACTTCTTGATTTTTTTCCGTCAGACGTGCCGTTTTCGCGTGAAAACATAAAAACCAGTTTGGCTTATTCAATCAATTGAATTTACTTGAATGACAATTAGACAAAAACACATCCTACTTACAAACTACCGCATAGCGCTTAGTAGGTGCATGTCAAATTTTATGAAATTATCTTGAACAATGTATTGAAGTTATAATAAGAAAAAACTCTTTTCCGTCGACCTCGTATTAACGACTAAGTTTAATGTATATGAAATCGTTCATTAATGACCCCTATTAATGAACGATTTGTCTATTAATGTACGATTGTTTTATAGGCAACCAAACATACACCGCGTGCATTCATTGTTTATGCTATAACTTACGGAATCTGCATTTAAATCGAAAATATGGATTTCATTGAAGATTTTCTGTTAGCGGGTTCACCTTTCCAAGTTTCTGACACGATTTTAATCCCTGTTTTCTAACACAAGGAATTCATTTTCTATGTTGATCATTTCGACAAATGTCAAATCTCACTAATGTCAGTGACAAGGCTACTGGGTGATTCTTAGCAGTTTCCAGATGAATGATGAATTCGCGAACTAAGTTTTCTTCATTGCAGGAGAAATGAGAAATATAGTCGACGGAAAAATTTTGTAACCAACTTGTTTATTAAAAGGCGATTAATGATCTCGAACATTAACGCGCTCGCTTCGCTCACACGTTAAAATATCTCGATCATTAATAGCCTTCATTAATAAACTAGTTGGTTAAATAACTATTTTTTTTAATTTTTACACCCTATAGCTCGAGAGTTAAGAGGTCTAGGGCATATGTTCATATACACTTCTCTCTTCTCAAAATGAGCTAAGGAACCATCATATATAATTATATTTAGCAATCAATTGAAATATCCTGTGTAGCCATTCTTTTTCTATTATCCCAACAAATTTTCTGTGAGAAAATCAAAGTGAATAATTGATTGGTTTTGATTTTTGAGGTTCTTTTTCACTACTGATGCTTCCTTCCTGAGGTATGTAAGTCAATGTATGTAGCCATTCTTTCTCCAATATTGAATCAAGGTGAAGAAGTGATTGATTTCGATTTTTTATGTTGCCATAGAGTGGACCGAACTCCGCCATTGTTTTACGAAATTTGTACCCTGAGTCAAGTTAATCTTCCTCCACGACGAATAATTCGCAACATTGTCTTAAAAGTTGAAGAAACTGAAAGCATCGGAGATGGAGGGTGAAGGCTATTTAGCTGACATTTTTTCTACTGTATGTGTAAGTAGCTTTAATCAAGTGTACGAATCTTGTATAATTATATGTATATACACGTACACACAGCTAAGCAACCGTTACTTGAGTAGCTTTGAGGTTTGTTCAATAGATCCCTTTCTCTTTTCCGCATTTTCAACGCTTATCACAAATTGTGCTCATTGACAGCTGCTTGTTAATCGTGATCACAGGGTGTAGGTATCACTTACGGAGGAATCCTGTATCTTTTGAAATGGGTCCACAACACGGGGTCGAAACACTGTAGCAGTTTTTCGAATTGTAAACAGAGAGCGACCACTCCCTGAGAGTTGGCACACACTCGGTGCAATCTGTGCCAATATCTCACGTAGAAAGCTCTGAAAACGTGATAGAGCTCTACTGGGCTCTCGAAAAGGTAGCAGAATGGAGCAGCTGGAAAATAATATCAATATAGCTAGAACCAGTTTCTTCCTGGGTGAAACGAAAAAACCCGTTTGTTATAATAACTGCTTGACAAATATAGTATTATAACTCACCGTACATGGTGAAGCCGTGAAAAGGGATGACGCCACTAGGTGGAAAAGTAATAGTGTTTTCAGGACAATTCTGTTTTCCCTTCACAGCTACTTGCATGAAAGCCGGTTGGCTCGACAGGCTTTTCAAAACTTCCGAATCTCTCGAGAAGCAGAGCATCACCTGAACAAAACCATTATCGAGGGGAGAAAATAAAAATCGTTGGATTTCCAGAAATTATTGAACTGACCTGGTACAACACATCTTCGAAAACAAAGTATTGGTCATCATTGGAGGCAGTGAGATTGATGTCTTTGATAATCAGTTTGTCAACCATCAAGTCATACTGAAGAACATTCTGTTTTAAATTTTCAAAATGATCGATATCCTGCAATAACAATTATTTTTTTTCAAAACAACTTCAAGAAAACATCGGAAAACTAACATGTTGTTTGATCTCAGTTCCTAATAACAAGCTCCAAATTCTTGATCTCAGACATCTTGGACAACCCTTTTTCAAGTATTCTTGTGCTAAGGGAGCGTAATTTTTTTCTAAAATTCTTTCGCCCAGAGCTATCCTTTCCGCCTCAAAATTGGCAAAGTTTTTGGGTGCACTGAGAGCATTATTGACGCAGAGTATCTGCTCCCCTCTTGACAGTTCTAAGTATAAATTTCTCTTAAAAAGGCGTTAAAAGTCAGCTATGCCAACGGAAGTTCAAAGATCTTACCATTTCTGCCAAGTTCTTGCTTTTCAATGGCAGCTGAGAAAATTCCCAGTGGTCCCTGAAGCAATAACAGAATGAAAAACTGGAAAGTGATTTCTCGAATTTTCTACTATGCTGCCAGAATTGCACGTTGGTGCAATTTTGACAACCCTGTTTCCAGAGGTTTGAAGAAGGTAACTTGGTGTGCAAAATACGTAAGTATAGTTATTATGTAACAATTGTTGAATATAGTGAAACATTATTTTCATCGTAGAAAGATGTAATTGATAATTTTCGATATTATCGAAAATAAAGGTACTTTTACTCTTTTGGTAAAAATAAGAATTTTTGGTTATAGGCTTTTCAGAACTTTTTATGAGAATTTACTTTTTTCTAAAATCAACAAATCGAGCAAAACAATTTTTCAAACACAATTCCTTGGCCTACTACGATCAGAAAAACTAGAGCAACATTGAAGAAAACGAATAAGGCATTCTTTTACGAAAATTTTGATAATGGTAATGGCAATCGATTCTGACTAGTCACAAATACTGGGCCATGTTTATACCATATGGATTTTTGGTATGCTTACCAAGGTGATCAGACCAACTTCACCAACATTGTTTTGATTATTATTTTGAGCTTAGGTTGTAGAACTTCACTTGAATACGAATAGGTAAATAATTAAAAATATCTTTCAGCAAAATTGGAAATTAGCTGAAATTAGATGAAATATTGTTTTGCAGAATCATAAAACAACTGATACTTGCTCCCCAGCGAGCACAAAAACATCTCAGAGATGTTAAAAGTACGAGATTTCGAGACATTGAACCTCCACTGCGATGTTCTGTTCACACATGAATAGAACTATTATAGAACAGCCAATGAGCCAATGTCCGCCGCAGGCGGCAATTATCGAGATGTCCTTGATATGTCACAAAACTACCTTCCCCCTAGTTCTTTTTGAAGCCTTTTCATGGGCACAACAAAACATTTTCAACGCGTCTTGCGCACATTAAATCGCTGTAAAAAACCATTTTCGAGGTACTTTTCTGAAGCCTTTTGTCAAAATGAACTTTTGCATTAGGATCCCATTTCCCTTGAATGAAAAAATGCATTAAAAATAGATTGAACATAAAAATATTTTCTTGATATGAAATTACCTTCTTAATCGGTTTCTGAGTAGTGCTTACTACACACAGACATATAATTGGAAATAGGTTTCCCAATTTTTGAAATGTTCTCCACAATGCATAATTTTGCAACTGCGGAGAAGCTGTGTATCGATAAATTCGTACTTTTATATATTGATCACACTGAGGCACCGAACAACACATCTTGCATCTGATGGTCATTATTACAAACTAAATAACACAATAAACTTCACCAAATTCCTTTCTGTTCGTTAGCAGCGTGATGTAAGCGTGACACGCTGCAAACGCGAATGCCAATTGCGAACAAGAAGAACAAAATCGAAAACAAATCAGAATTCATCGTATTGTGACGTAAGCATGAGACGTTGTGGTGGGGCAAACAAAGAAAGGGCACGAAAGAACAAAAACAATACTTTCAATATCCTTCTAAGACCTCTTTGGAAAGTGCATATTACGCCTCAGAAAAACATCCTCATGCCTACATTTCTAAAACATCCCAAAACATCCCAGGGATACCTCTCAGTAGGCAAACAAAGAAATGCCACAGAAGAACAAAAACAATACTTCAATATCCTTCAAAGACCTCTTTGGTCAGTGCATATTACGTCTCAAAATAACATCTTCATGCCAACATTTTCAAAACATCCCAAAACATCCCAGGGATGTTTGTGCTCGCTGGGTCTCAACTGAAGTCAAGGCTGTACAAAAGTAGACCATAGTGTTCACACCATCTTGATCATCATACTATTTTAGTCTGGTAGGTACCTACGCAACAAATTTCGGTATCAAACCAAGCTGGTAACTTTACCAAGTGAACAGTTCATACCACACTGACCAAGAGTATTTAGTTGAAATATAGTCATTATAGTTAGCTATAGGTGGTTTCATGAAACATTCATTATCATTACACGATCACTACATCATCAATTACAAAAGATAGAGCATGGAATAACAATGACTGTATTCAAAAAGACTTTACACTAAGCACTAGCAAGTTGGGCTCGTCTTATGTTTCATAATTATAATGTAATTATAATGAATGTTTTATGAAACCAAGATACGGTATAAACGTTTCCAATGTTCTAGAATTCTTGCTTGATTATTACCCTTGAATCTTATCTTTGACTGGTCCTTTCAAATTCAACAGCACCTCCAGAAAATCTTTGGGAGCGTAAACCGGCCTGTATTTGTGAATGTCGACCTGAAACATTCCCGAATTTTGGGGAATCCGAAAAAAACACCCGTAAGGGAATTTTACCAACTTCGAGAGTGCTCAATTCCGTCCATTTGTTAGCGATCTCTTCTCTTTCGTTCGTAGACCTCCCTTTGGCCAGACTGATCCCCAGTTCGTTGCACATCGAATTCAACGACTTGTGAATCCTCTTGTCCCAGTGGATTTGGCATTTTCGGAAAAACGGATCGTACGGGCTGGACTCCTTCTTTTTCGTTTTAGTCCATCTGAATATCTGGTTTTTCAGTTGGGATTCCAGACCATTTTCTTGCATCGCCTTCAGCAAGGTGATTTTGAAGTCATCGGATTTAACACTAGGTGATACCACCAATTTCTAGGAACATGAACGTTAGCCTGTCACACTGACATATTTTCCAATTTTTACGAAAAAATACAATTGACATGTTTCAGTGAACAACTTTATTTTATTATTTTGACTTATACTAACTAAAACTAGTTCACTGTCCCCAGAGCTCTCTACAGGGTCTTCGCATGTATATTTTGAACCACCCCCCCAACTTTTTTATTTATTGTAATTTTTTTTCAAAAAATAAACGGTTTTTCATGATGTTTTCTTCAGATTTTATATATTTTATGTTAACAGAACAACAGTTGAACATCCTTGGGGGCCACTTATACAGGGTGTCCCATAAGACTTTCAAAAATTAACACGATACAAAACATATTTCTGAAGGAAATATCTTTCTGAAAAAAAAACTGGAAGTTTCCAGTCTGACCTCTGAAAATGTATCACCAAATTTGTACGGCAACATGATTGTTTGAAACACTTGCAGGTCACTGATGATGATCAAGAACATCTCAAAACGTGATTTACTGTCACAGAACATGCCATGCCAAAAATTATGAAAATAGATCTCGGCCTAACTCTCTTTATGAGCAAAATTATTTTTTTCCAAAAAAACTTCAATGCCTTGTACTAACTCAACGAGACGATTTTGGATATAGGTAAATTGGCCTAAATCAACTTGTTTTTATCCCAGGAGTCCACAGCCGAGCCATGTCCAACCTTTTACAGACACCCTGTATATGGCCCATGCATTTTCGATCTTAAAGCAAAAGTGAATTTTACTTGTTGTCAAGGAATAATATGTAAACATATACATATATTATATTAGAATTTGATATTGCATAATACAATTTCACGGATATGTGGGGTGTTTTTTATTTAATGTAATTTTTTTTTCAATTATTTTCCTAAAAATTTAATTAGGTAGGTATCGTTCATTATCTATTCGTAGTAGATCATCATATTTATCAATTATTTCGAAAAACTATTGATTTTCGATCGACCGTTGCTATATATACAGGAATGTTATGAAAATTCATAAAATCGGAAAAGGGGAAAGTGCATATACAGGGTGTTTAAAAAAAACCTGACCCCCTTACTAGGGTAGGTAGAACACTGCAAAATAAGTTAGGATTACTCAGTAAAAAAATTTCGTAACGGCATCCGTTATCAAGATACGAGGTGTTGAAAAAATGATGTTTTTACACATTTTTCAAGATTATGTCGAAACTACTGGCAACATTGTGATGAAATTTTCTATGGATGTTCCTTGGAATCTGACACATCGCACGCATTTGTTTTTATACCTGACTCCCATAGAGGGCGCTAGTTACACGGTTCGTACCGAGTAGATTTGAACATAACTTTTTTGAGGTTAGATTTTTCAATCCAAATTTGATGTGAACTTGAACATCATCCAATTTCACACCAAAAAGGTACTCTTGGTAAAACTCGATACTGTGTTCCGTTTTCGGAATATTTCGATTTGAAAATGATGAAGTGATAACTGTTGCTGATGGTATAAAACTATGTAATACAGTGAGTATTATGAAAAAATATCACCTATTCATTGAAAACCGAAAACAACAATACATTTCTGATGCTAAACTTATTGATATAACATTGAATCAGGGGCGGCGAGTTTTGTTTTGCCCAATGGGTGCCAAAATGAAGGGGTTAGGGCAAGCCAAAAAAAAATGCGCCGCAGGCAAAAATTTTTATGGCTCAAGGTCAAATGCCTTCAAATTTGAAGATAGCTTGATGCAATATTGATTCTGCATTACGTGTGAAACACCCCTACTAGAATATAATGTTTTTTGACTAATCGGGTTTCGGGTCTGTTGTTAATATCAACATAAACAAAGGTACATCTTCGTTTCGGCCAATGGGTGCATTGCACCCATACCTATGGTCTACATGGGTGCATTGGCCCCGATGCCCCCATGCACTCGCCGCCCCTGCATTGAATCACAAGAATAACATCGAAACAGATTCGACTATTAAGAACATGGATTAGGTACACAGTTTTGTTGTATCTTGAGCAGAAAGTCTATGCTACATAGGTAAATTCACGTCAAGCGTTGTATGACATAATTGAACATCACTTAAATGACCTAACAGCTGATCCTCAACTGTTCAGAAGAATAATTCATTCTTAAAAAAAAGAATATAGAATCGAGTATTCCTCATCGAAACGTAGGACATTTTGAACACTTACTCTAACTGATTCAATATTTCATGTTTCGAGTCAAATATCTCTTAATTTTCTACTTATGATTCTTTGTTCCATCAATAACTTCAGCACAAGAATAATTTTATCGTTTTTGAACCTGAATAAATAGGTAATTGAACTCAATAAAATTCATTTTATACCAGCATCATTACTACTCCATTATTTTCAAATCGAAATATTCCGAAAACGGAACATAGTATCGAGTTTCACCAGTACCTTTTTGGTGTAAAATGCAATGATGTTCAAGTTCATATCATATTTGGATTGAAAAATCTAACCTCAAAAAAGTTATGTTCAAAACTACTCGGTTCGAACAATCTTTGGGTTCGAACCGTGTAACTATAGCGCCCTCTATGAGAGTCAGATATGAAAACAAATTCATGCGATGTGTCAGATTTCAAGAAACATTCATACAAATTTTCATTACAATGGTGCCAGTAGTTTTGACATAATCATGAAAAATGTGTAAAAAAATCATTTTTTCTACAAACGTCAAAAAATGACAAGGTTCGCGCATTGATAACAAATTGCGAAGTGATACTTTTTTCCAGTTTCCTACGTTACCATGATACCTTGCACCAAACAATGCGCGAAGTGAAACAGTGCGCGAAGTACCTACTTCGCGCATTGTTATGTAAAATATATGAGATATTTATATTTCCACTTTATGGTCCTTGATCGAGCCAACATCCACGAAATCATCTATTTCTGAATATTCGACAATAACTTTGTCTTATCTCTTGGAGCGCACGAAAGAAAATTACTATTATGTTCGTGGAACATCGTGCGTACCTAGGCAGGATAGGGGGAGGTCTTTCAAGCCAGTTCAACGCTATTTTTTATATCGAGCTGAGCATATTTCTACTTTGGAACTATGTTTTTTGACGTTTGTAGAAAAAATGTTGTTTGCAACTCCTGCGCGAAATACTTTGGTCATCTCGACCATTTTTTTAACTCGGCTACGCCTCGTTAAAAAAATCAGATCTCGATCACCAAAGTAGCATTTCGCGCTCTAGATACAAAAATAACTATTTTCAACATCTTGTATCATGAAAACGGATGCCGTTACGACATTTTTTCACTGAGCAAACCCAACTTATTTTGCAGTGTTCTACCTACCCTAGCAAGGGGGTCAGGTTTTTTTGAAACACCCTGTATGTACCTATTCTTACCTGAATATCGTCGAATAAACACTTATATATTGGAGATTTTTGTAAATCATCACATATTTTCACTGTGGTGTGATGAATGCTCTTTTCTTTCAAATCTTCCATCAAGAAAACCTACAATGAGAATGTAAAAGTCTTAGGAAAGACCAACCCTTCAATCACCGCAATCTAGGATCTTTGGATCTAGGCTACCTACTGCTAATTTGTTTTCCATGGTCGCTAAGAAACCATTGATAATTCTTTGAACGGCCTGGATCAGGTCGGCAGCTCACTTGATATTTAGCCGTCATTGGTCTAGCTATACCGGGTGTCAACGAATCTATTAGACAAGTCATAACTTCTAGAACATTAGATGTATCAAAATGAGATTTGGTATAGGTAAATGGTATGTGAAGATGAGAGTTTTTACATATTTTTCACTTACCGGTCACTTCCGGTTTCACCGGAAATGGCTCCAGTTCTAAATTTTTAAATGGAACACCCTCTGTATATTGTAACATTTTTGGATTTCTGAGAAATTCTAGATCAGACTGTGACATTTTGGAAGTTTTTATGCCTACTCAATTTTTTCGGAGTCACTTTTGAAATTACGTCTAGGTGGCCATGCCCCCCTCAGACATTTTTTAGTTTTTAAATTCTTTTCGTTAATAATTTCCCAATTTGTAATTTTTTTATATTCACCCTGAACACTTTCATGAAATAATCATAACGAAATCAGTTGATGATACCTCTTTATTCAAATTCAAGAATATTTGTGCAATCAACTTGGATTTTAACTTTTTTAAGGAATCACAAACTCTATGTTTGTTGCAACGATATTCAGCTCAACTTTAAAATTTCGCTAATCATATTTTTAGCAAGGTAACACATCATTAGATGTCACCAAACTGTCTATAATGTTTACTGTCAACAGTGTCAACCCTCATTTGTTTTGTTCCTTGGGTATTCGTGATTATTTTAAATGAAATCATATGGTTGTCGATTGATTAGTACAGCTTTTTCATACACATTTCAAATACAAAATGTTCACATCGAATGGAAGTTTTTGAATCAGCAAATTATGATCAACTGATTTTGTTATGATTAACTTGTGGAAGTGTTTAGGGTGAATATAAAAAATTACAAATGATGATATAGGTATACAGAGAAGTGCATAAAAAACGTCTAAAACTGTAACTTTTGAATTATTCGAGATAGGGTTTTGAAAATTGGTAGGTAGCTAGTATATCAAATTGCTCATTAATTGACAAAACAATTTCTGTTTTATTACTTCCGGTTTCACTGGAAACGACCCCAACTTTTTATTTTTAAATGGGACACCCTGTATTGTATTCCATAATCGGTTAGGGATTGTCATAACGATTTCATCGATACCGGGTTTGATAGGGTTATTTTAAACGATTACGCAGATATTCACGTTCTAAGTTTCCATATGCTCAATGAGTGTGACAGAGACTGAAGTTTTGATGTTGCGAAGTCATTGCGCATATGGAAACTTCGGAAGCAAATATCTTTGTAATCGTTTGAAATAACCCTATCAAACCCGGTATCGTTGAATTCGTCATGATAATCCCTAACCGATTATGGAATACAATACAGGGTGTCCGCCCATTTGAAAATCAAAAGTTGGGGTCGTTTCCGGTGAAACTGGAAGTGGTGGAGGAAAAATTGTTTCATTCATTAATGAGCAATTTGGTATACTAGTTGCCTACCAATTTTCAGAACCCTATCTAAAATAATTCAAAAGTTACAATCCTAGCCGTTTTTTGTGCACTTCTCTGTATATGTATACGCGTATATATATGTATTTCCCAATTTAATAAATATAGCAATATGCGTGTATAGGCTATAAAAATGTGAATCAAGCAATCTTTTTTTAGCGAAATATCACGACTAGACTGAAAAGGCTAAATTCCAGGGGAGAGGGATCGCCCCCCCTTGCTCCCAAGTGCCGGCGCTTATGGACAAAATCTTGTTGTACCGGAGTTCACGAATATATGATTCACTTATAATATGATGTGGATATGACAGTATTGACTTCATTGGGATAATAATCCAAGAAACGTAGAAGAAGAATACAGGTTAGCTATTTTGATATGTCAGTGTCAATGTCAAGAATTGTATTTGTATGTAAATAATAAATATTTGTAATTTTCATTTATAAATAAATAAGGCAAAGCTCAAATAACACAAGATCAACAAAAGAGTATTGTTTTGTCATCTACATGACCAATAAAATAAGTGATAGGTTAGGATAAGTGTGAAAGTATGGGGTGTTGTTACAGTTTTTTCTGCAAGGATGATAACTCATCCCAGGCAAGTTGCAACCTTATGAAAATTATTGATGACAACTTCCCTTTCACTTTCAACGTTTCATTTTCAGACTGGTGAGGCTAATGAGCGGACCCATTTACTCATAGATCCTGTTTCAAATAACACAAACATACAGAGAGTAAACAGGTAAAACCGTATTTGAAAAAAATATATTCTGATGTAATTCCATGAACTTTGACATTTATAGTGAAGACCTTCTGAGCCGAAATTCAAACACATTACCCAAAAAGACTGATGAGCAATCTGCACTGAATAGAATACTTCAAAATACTGCAACGTAAGTGAACATTCCAGGAAGTTTCTAGTCCTCTCATTATTATTCATTTCAGAAATGTGATTGATGTGGCTGCCCTTGATTCACACAATCTGCAGCAACATGAATATTTAGAAAGGATGAAAATTTATAATATCAAAGTGCAACAAGTGCTTTCAAATAACAAACAACTATTCACAACTAGGCCTAATCCTGTTTTACAAGATATACCAAATCCAGATAAGGTGCTCAATTCTGATCCAGTTACAATAGGGGACTTGAACCTGGTGAGTTTTTTATTTCCATAATACACAAGTCTAAATGATTTTTCTCTGTCTCCACCTTGATATTGGTTGCTTGATTTTATTATCTAGGGATCTTCTTTTTTTTAGATAAGATCAGCTGTAACAGCTGCAGCTGCAGCCATAACTGATATTAGAGTTGATCATAAAGAAGATTTAGTGGTGCCCTTTGGTTTGAACTGTTGAAAAATCTTGGACACAAGTTGGTATCTGAATGGGTTGATATTTTCATCTCTATTTTTCCTGATCTTTCAGAAAAGTGTAATTTTCACAATATCATCAACTCTTCTGCACCATTTGAGTAGCATTAATGAAAATTCCATAGACATTTCAATATCAGTTATAAAAAAGCGAGATTTTTCATAAATGATATAATCTTTAGTTTTCATCTTTGCTATACTTATTATGGGACAAGAGGAATTTTTGAATGGTGATGAATCAATATGAAATACAATTTATTATAATTTTTGTTCAAATTAGATTGACTTGAATTTTATCTAGACCCTCCCATAAATCTAAAAAAATATATTCTGTGAATTTATGAGGAGGTATGTGTACAGATTGAGAGAAATCTATGTGAATATGTAAAATGACAGTAATTATCATTATTATATAATATGTATATGATAATCATTAATTATAAAAACTTAAAAACTCTTGAGATTCATGCTGTAATCAAGGTATTTTCCTGTTACTATATGTTAATTCAGAATTGTATTGAATTTTAGTCATGTAAATAAATTGAGCTCAGATATTATTTTCAATAAACTATTTGCTGTGAACATTTTCATATATATTTCCCATTCCTTGCTGGTTTTTGAAATTTAAAACTCATGGTTCAAGAACAAAAATTCAAAACTGAAATAGTTTAAAACAGAGATATATTACCCACTATTATATACACAACAATACAAAATCAGTGCTAGTTGACATCTGCCTTGCATGAAGCAAATGTAAAGGAGGCCAAACATTTTCAACTTCACTGTACAATATAAATCAAAATAAATTAAAAATTAGTGTGTTGTTTGGTTTGAAGCAACAACTGGTTTGAAAGTGGGCTGAACAGTGCTAGAACTGCCAGGAACATGAAAAAAATACAACATAAACCCAGCAGCCAGTAATAAATGGCAAGTCACAATCCCCAAAGACAGCAAAAACTTATGTCTGGACAATCTCAAAGCTGGCAACAAAGTTAGCAGTAAAACTGAGCCAGATATAAAAGTACCAAACAGGACCAGAACCCATTGCAGTATGTTGATTTGGATTGACCACAGAATAGAAACTGGAATATAAATGAACAAAGAATATCCATAAACACAGATCAATTCCAAAACCCCTGGAACAATTTCCTCTTCTAATCCCTCAACATCATTAATCTGGGTAGTCCACTTCAAGAGACCCCACAAAATAAATGGAATGAAACTAACATAAAGGAATATTGTTGTGGCAGCATATGAAACTAGATGAAAATCATACTTCCAGTGATACCTAGCATTAGCATTTTGCAAGTAGTTAGCAATGTTTCCACTAATAGCTATGGTGAAAATAAGTGTTACAGATATCCAAAAGGGCCCATATAAGTCTGGCTTGGTGCGTAAGTGATGCTTCAGGGTGTTGTCCCATTTAGGAGTTATAGAAGCAATAATCCTATCCACAACATCACTAGTATCGACATCAAAGAACTTTTGGTAATACTCAAGGGTCCAAAATGATTTTGAGCTAACTGGATCTGGAAACAATGAAACTTTCTAGTTGCACAGCATTTTCAGTGCACTATTTTTACCTGTGTCTTCTACATTGGGTGAACTTGTAGGTCTTTGTGAGCCTGGAGAGTTTCTGAAGTTACCATCCAAATTTTCAACGTTTATCTGAGCTTCAGATATGGGAATGGTTGTGTTATTTCTGTTGTTATGTACAGTTGGGTAGTCTTGAAAAGACAGAAGCTCTTCAGTAGGAACTTCTTGGAGATTTGTCATTTTTTAGATAGGTCGGATTCAGTGATACATCTCCTGCTTCAATACTCATATGAATTTAATTCTGAACAAGAACACTTTATGCTGGAACAACTTAAATCTTTGTTTTTATAAATTTTATAAAACAGGACAAGTATGCAAATCCAACAAATTGACGTTTCTTGTTTGACTTTGTATCACTTTATTGATTTTGGTTCCGACACTCTTCTTCTTATCCAGAATGAACTATCTTTTGATCACATTCAGTTTTCGGCTACGTGGCCACGGTGCCTCAAGCCTTATCATTCATAATCATACCAACCAAAATGTGGTGAAACCTTTGTTATACGAGAGCCTAAAGTTTTCGAACCATTCCCAAACCTTTGATCTTACTTTGATCCAATGAACTCAATACAACTTGAGTTCATTGCTTTGATCACAGTGAATCACGTGGTACATTACAGCCTCTACAATTTTATTGCGAAAAATAGTCGTAAACATCTATTTTCTGTTCGACTATCTCGAATTATTTGAATCGATGACCATTAACATCATAATATACAGGGTGGCCCACGGTCGATGGTACCTTTTAGACGTATACGGAAAACGGTACATTGGATTATACTGAAAATTTGGTTACTCTAATAAGCGTTTGTGCTCTAACGATTCGAAATATTTTCAGCGATGCAGCGCTGCCACTTTTACCAAAAAGTAGCATCTTCTTTGTTATTTCAAATGGAACACCCTGTATTTCATTGCGTTTTTAGATTCTTCTCGAAGAGCTGATTTCATCAATGCATCACACTTGGGGTCTAGCAGGAATTATTACAGAGATATAGGGTGTTCAAAATCGAGATTTTTCAATTTCAGGAATTTTTTGTGTCGAAACTATTCATTATCGATCAAAACGGCTTACATGTCCCTATCTTAACTTTTGATTCACTATCTACTGACATTTAATTGGAACAGATACAGGGTGATCCAAATTCTGAATCTTGGACCATCCTGTATTTTTTCCAATTAAATGTCGGTAGATAGTTAATCGAAAGTTAATAGAGGGACATGTAAGCCGTTTTGACCAATGATGAATAGTTTTGGCAGAAAAGAATCCTAAAGTTGAAAAATCTCGATTTTGAACACCCTATATCTCTGTAATAATTCCTGCTAGACCCCAAGTGTGATGCATTGATAAAATCAGCTCTTCGAGAAGAATCTGAAAACGCAATGAAATACAGGGTGTTCCATTTGAAATAACAAAGATGATGCTACTTTTTGGTAAAAGTGGCAACGCTGCATCGCTGAAAATATTTTGAATCGTTATAGATCACAAACGCTTATTAGAGGAACCAAATTTTCAGGATAATCCAATGTACCGTTTTCCGTATACGTCTATAAGGTACCATCGACCGTGGGCCACCCTGTATATCCACTGATTTGAGAAAGATCCACAGGGTGATTATTACCCTCCACAAAAAATGAAATGACGAAATCCAGGCCTGGAAATGAAAGAACATGTTGATTTCTATTGGGCTAAAGTATTGAAATTGCGAGTCTTACTTTTATTTGTGAAATTCATGCGTCGCAAAGTAATTACTTTCGAATGAATAATTTATCGTTTTCTGAAAAATTCTGTAAAAGTGTGAGGCGATCGAATTCTGGATATTTTATTTTTGATGCTCGTTTGTGTGCTTTGAAAATTCCCTGTCACAGTTGACAAAATACAGGATGCACTTTTTGATGAAAACTAGACTATATATCGAAATATTTCAATAACGGTGCTGGATTTTCCCGATTCTGGATAGGTCAGTCAATTTGGGTTTAGTAGAGGAATATGTTTCATGAAAAAAATAGAGGAATCAAAGGCGCTGTTGAAAAGTTATGACCAAAAGACATATTTGCAAAAACTCATAATTCCCCCTTCATTAGTAAAGAAGAGAAGAAGACACTTTCTGATGGTTATCAGGTATTCCCTTCAAGGGTCTCTATTCAATATTACACCCTGTAAATATAGTATAATGTTTTAAAATTGTGTACACACTGTATCAAATACGGGATTTACTAAATGATTTGACGTATCGAGATGGAATCACGATGACAAATCGAAAATTATTCAAAAAAGTGCGCTGATTAACAATTTCCACAAATGAATGATAAGGATGCTAAACTTTATGCGTATTTAACAACTTACAAGAAAGACTATATCAAGAAAAAACCAAAAAGTATAAAAACATTCACAGGCGAACAAGAATTCAAAGATCCTATTAATGAAGGATTCAAAAATTATTTGGTCGTTGATGATAAGAATTTGATTGAACCACAAGAAGACGGAGATGGTTTCTTAGAAAAGGTATGGAGGTAAAAATTAGGCAATGATTTTCTGTTCTGATGATTATTTAGGAATCTGACGCTTTTATAAATTTCAATGATTTATATGAAATAATAAGTACCTACCTCTAGTACCTCATCCAGTTATTGATGATAATTTATAGGTGAAAGAAACTCGCAAGAAAATCGGAAGAATGTATTACGAAAAACCGCTTGATCACATAACCATCAAGGGAACAAAATTGTTAGAAGGGAAATCAGTATACCAAGTTGAATATTGTGATATTGGTGAAAAGATATTATGTTCTCACACAAATATTCAAAAACATATTTTCAGAGGAAGATATTAGACGAAAATTGATAGACACTTCAAACAAGAAATCTTGTCTGCCAGAGGGATGGGTAATACCTATAACGACACAAAAATCAGACTTTCGAAATCCAATAACTTTGAGCAAAGACGCTTTGGAACCACCTTTACCCATCAAACCGATCAATAATCTCGGGCACAATGGTGAGACTAAAATTATAATGGCCATTGATTTTTTACCCCAAAACAGGGATATTTTCCTATATCTGTAACCCACCCTGTATACATGGCTCATACTCGTGAGATTGCGAATGGAAAAATAATGTATAATTTTCGCTTTTAATAGTGTATGTCGTACAGAGGGAGAAAACGCTAACATTTATACTCCCTTACGCCGGGGGCTAACTTTTACGATGCCGCCGCGCAGCCGCCAAATATTTAATTTTCAATAATTGTCAGTTTCGAAATTCAAATAATCCTTTCACTGCTTCTTTTACAGCACATAACAATAACATGAAATCATTATGTACAACGAATCAAATTATATTTACTTCACACGTTAAACATAATAACAACAAACAACACATTTTTTTTTCCAGATAAAATATTTTTCTTAATTTTTTTGATGCAAAGTCGTCAATGGCATCATCAAAATTCAGTTTTAATAAAATATTACTGTTGATACTTGAAATTGATAAGATATTCAATATATCCTCTACCATGGAATTCCTAAGGTAGTTTTTCACTCTTTTCAAAATTGAGAATGACTTTTCACCACTGGCATTACTTAGAGTCCCTGTATGTATTTGACACTTTTGCTGTAATAAGAGTACGGACACTATGACAAGCAGTGACAGAAGGCATAACCCTAAAAAATTTGAAATGACATGAACAATTTGGCGGGCACTGACAGTTCATGAACGTACATGACATTAAATTATTTGAAAATTCAGGTTTTCAAAAATTAAAATGTCTAATTGTGTAGTGGAGAATTGCAAAAATGGAAGCCAGTCCTTTCATTTATTCCATTTCCCCCATTCTAACCCACAAGTACATATACCCTTTGTAAAGTATATCGAGAAATACTTTCAACAAATTGATTCACAAACTATGACCCCTTTTCGCCAGTGAGATGAGACGCCACTTCTTTATGAAAATAATGACAGAGAAAGATATATGGATGTACCCTTCACCGCGGCAGTAGAGGATAGAAGATCCGAAGTGCATGGAAAAGCATATCCATGTCTTTGTTCAAAAGTCATTTTGAGAATTTGGGGTTATGCCTTCCGTCACTGCTTGTCATAGTGTCCGTACTCTTATTACAACAAAACTGACATATATATACAGGGAATTATACATACAGGGACTCTAGCATTACTAATCATCAGGGATAGTAAAAAAATTCTCAGTGATTGCCAATATTCAATGAATTAGGAATTTGTTGTGATTATCCCTAAAACAACGCTTAGTCGTGTTCATATTTTGCTCACCTAGCTATTTTTGAGATTCTGACTCTTCTATTTCGCGTATTGAATGTAAAAAAATATAAAACTTACCATTCCCGTCTTGGGATCGTGAACTTCCCGGAGACGGTTTTGTCGGTTCTGATTTTATCTCATTTGAGTTTAGAAAAAATGAATGTATTTTTCATTTCCTGACAACTTCGTTTAACTGATTTTGTTTATTGATCTTCTGCCGTTTTCAGAATGCACCACCTTCTTTTCCACACATTTTCTCAGATTTCAGTTTAAATTTTTTTTTTTTTTAATTTTCTCGGCCGTTACTTTACGTTACTAATCGTTTGTGAAGTTTTTACATTCAATATTTATTTATCATCATTACCACTAGCAACAATACCATCAACGACAACCTATTGAATAATGAACTCTGATTTTGTTTTTTTTTATTGAGTTATACGAATCACGAAATTTCCCCTACTCTTCTGAGAAGAATGCGGTTTTTCTTCACATCATCAAATGAAAGTATGTACCGCCGCCGCTTTTGTATTGTAGCGTCCAAGACACAGCTGACGCTACAATACATGTTATGGTTTTCACAAAAACAGTATTTCAACCAGTCAACGAATGTATTGCTGCTTGCTTTTCCTTTTTTCTCTTTTTCTCTATACCGCCTCTTGAAATTCACCGCCGGGGGCTGATAGTCCCATAGCTCCCCCCTAAATCCGGCACTGCTCATACGATTTCAATGAAACTTTATACAGAAATATAAGTAGAATAAATCAGTCTATAAATTTCAGAACGGCTTACATATCTTTCTCCAATCCTTATCAACGATATACAAGGTGTATATAAATAACACCAAAAAAATTCAAACATGTATCCTAACTTGCTCCGTTGGGATACAGGGTGTTGGAGTTGGAAGTATCAATTGTTCTTATTTATAACCTACCTGTAGAAGCTTTCATAGTGCCAGAATTCAGTATGGTTGTAGACTGAGGAAGCCCTAAAATTTCAAAATGATTATGATTGGGGTTATTGAATAATCTCAATGGAAACCTTGAAAACATCTACAGTAAAATTTGGAGTCAAATCAAATTTTTATTGTTTCCTCAGAAATTAAGCTAGATACAAAAATTTCACGAAGGATAAAAAACGAGATAAAAAAGTTGTTATTTCAATAGTTCAATCTGATGAAAATATGAAACTCAGAAAATCCGGTGGCGTACAATGAAATTCACCATAAATATCGATAAATTTGCCCACTGTGACACCACTGGAAATATTCATTTGAATCTAATTGCACCAGAAGAAGCTCCATATTATACATATTGACAAAACCACAACGTTTTATTGAAATTGATGAAATGACAAATGTGTAATGAATAAAATAACGATTTTTCATTGAAATATCAATACCCTGTATCTCCAACACGAAGCAAGTTAGGACACATGTTCATATGAACTTTGTTTCCTAAAATAGGATACACCCTGTATAACTAGTACCCTGCATAGACCAATACTTTTTTTTTTAGAGAAAGTGAATGACATATTGAACGTGAAAACTGGTGAAAGCGAATATGAAAAGACGGTTGGACACCTTGGTGGATTCATAATAGATAACCAGATGCATGGTAAAATCGAACACCCTAAGTGTACTTGTCTACACACAATATGAATAAAACATGAAGTATGTACAGGTATTTTTATTTCAATACGTCAAAAATTTGAAAATGTTACAATTGTTTCAGTAATATGTTGAAACCAACCCTCCCAATGTCGTGTTGATAAAATGTCAAAGGGGTGAATAATCTTTGGGGACGAAGATACCCATTTACTGAAAAGGAAAAAAAAACATTTTTAAACGACAGTGCGTGAATAACTGAATTATTAACTCACTTCTTTTAGAGCTAGGGAGAGGTTTCGGAAGTCGTTGGTTTCTTCTGCCATACAATATTTTGGAGCTCTCCAGGAGTTGATTTTCGAAAGATTTTGTATCAATTGTCTGATGATCCATCTGAACTTGCTCTTAAAATTTCAATAAATTCACACCCAGCCCAACCGATTCAATATAAACTACTCAACAAATGAAACGTAAAATGTCATTATTTTGATCAAATTTGAATCATCATAACTTTCGATTGCCTCAACCGATTTTCAATTATTTCTCAGTTTCTGAAAGTTCGTTTCATTGATGACTATTTCATCTTTTCCGAATCATATTCTACAGGATGATAATCAAAGCTGTGAATTTTCCCAAAAAAATTTCAAAACGCCTCCCGTTTGAAATAAGATTTTTTCTATTTTTTTTGGGGTCAGAAACATATTGCTTCATGTTTTCTCGATACTGTAAAAATACTTTTGGAATTGTCACACGCGTTACTGAAATATGAATGTGTTTTTAAGATAATGCATAATTTGATGCTCTAATTTCTATTGGGTTTGTGTTTTTGTCGATCTGGTTCGAACGGTGGTCAAAATCTTGAAATGATGCATGATCAACCCATTCTTATATGCATGGTGGTCCTCAAACAACAATTATGGCATCAGGTAATAAAAAAATCTTGTTTCGACAAGCAAGAAAATATACATATCCATGTGACTCACGTCTGCCATTATTTTGAATTTCGACAAATAAGTCATTTGTGAAGACGTTCACTGCAAATGAAATCACATCCTGATACTCATTAATCTACTGCAATTGTGATGAATTCTTCCAGTTGCATGGTATGTCTCGGCAGCATCTTTTTTTATTTAGACGACATCCTGAATATTTATTCACTATATCTCATTTGCTTGGGAATTATCATCTAAAAATCTGTCAAGTGAGAACGACGCTCTGAAAATCCGCTTTTTCTAACAATACCAGTGGTTTGATTCTGTAGCGATTTGACATGGTGATGACAACCTCTCCAATACGCTTTGGTCGCCAGAAAATTTCTCAATAGGTTTCCTGCTTCGAAATTTTCTTGCTCGTCAAAACAAGATTTTTTTTTATTACTTGATGTCATAATTGTTGTTTGAGGACCACCCTATATATAATAATAGGTTGATCATGCATCATTTCAAGATTTTTGACCACCGTTCGAAGCAGATTGACAGGAACACAAAGCCAATAGTAATTAGAGCGTCAAAATATGCATTATTATCTTAATAAAACATTCATATTTCAGTAACGCGTGTGACAATTCCAGAAATTCTTTCACAGTCTCGAGAAAACATATGAAGCAATATGTTTTTGATCCCAAAAAATAATAGAAAAGTTTTTCTTTCAAACGGGAGGCGTTTGAAATTTTTGGAAAAATGCACATCTGCTTTGATTATCATCCTGTAGAATCTGATCCGGAAAAGATGAAATAGTCATATCCATAGGTTCGATAGTCAATGAAACGAGCTTTCAGAAACTGAAAAATAATTGAAAATCGGTTGAGGAAATCGAAAGTAATGATGATTCAAATTTGATAAAAAAAATGCGATTTTACGTTTCATGTGTTGAGCAGTTTGATAAAAGTATATGTATAGTATCTAACTCACTCTTCGACAGATCTTTGCAATACTCAGTTTGATAAGTCGTTTTCATTCTCTTCAACTGCATTTGCTTTACAGTATTCGCCACTTTTGCGAAATGTTCCTTGAAATGTCAAATTGTTATTGAAGAAAATACTGAATTTACGAAATTCTAAAGCGACGTTACAGTGTCTTCTTCATCTACGTTATCTCCATATGTTATCCATAAATCTTTATCAACATCACAATCAGGGTTATCTTTAGTAGGATCAATCCTGAAATCAAGGAAACTGCAGGATTCTAATGAAATATATTGGTACCATCATTATATACGGCTTCACTCTTTCTTGGACATTCCATCTGAAGTTATTTGTATAGGTAGTAATAAATGCTTGAGCCATAATAAATACATGGATTTCTCTACTTTTTTCTACAGAGAATACAATTTTGACATAAGATAATTATGACATAATATTAATCATTCCAGAATTACGTCATTTGACAGGTTGCTGAGGAACAAACATTGTGTTTTGTCAAGATTTGTCATATGAAACCAGAATTAGTGGGATCGTTTTCCTTGGAATCCGAGTTGGAACTAGAACGAATTTCATAATTTTGTTTGGTGAAACTGTCATTATATTGTGGATATGGCAGGGCTATATGCTCATCAATGGTAACCTAACAGATAGTTTGTTTGCCCCTCAAGAAACCATGTCAAAATCACGTGTTCTGGAATGGTCAATTGTCTAATGTTTTGGAATAAATAAAAATCATAACCTTGTTTCATTTCATTTTTTCAATATATTAATGAATAATGGAGAGATAGGTATGGTTGATTATTCTATGATGAATACATATACAGTGTGTCCACCTTAAGGACTTACCACCCCTGTTAAATCGTTATTATCCGACCAATTTCAAAAAACCTATTTTTGTTGGATAGGTATTTGAAATGCCCATCCAACGAGAGAGTGATCTAATTTTTGGACTGTTATCGTGGCCAACTGCGACAAATTTCAATGACCCATATTCCAGAAAGTACTATTAGGGATTTTTTTTCACGAAACTTGATGGATTCTGAATCAGTACCACTTGAAATATACCTGTACCGATTTTCATCATCATACAACACATGGTGTCCGAAAAAACGAATCATCATTATCTTCAAATAGGTGATCAGCAAATGTAGTTCTGTGGTTTTTCGAGAAAGAAATAATCACAAATTATCATTGAGGATTATTTCATGAATCAGGATCACTTGGAACATACCTGTACCGATTCTCATCATCATCAAACACAGGGTGTTCGAAAAATCAAATTAATATTTTTTTTGAGTTGATGAAAAAATATTGCCTACTTTTTCTTTTTAATTGTTTTCTCATACACATCGTATTTTTGAATGATGAAAATCGGTACAGATATGTTCAAAGTGATCCTCAATAATAATGTGTCATCAATTCTTCTCAAAATTACCACAATACTACATTTTCTGATTACCTATTGAAAAAAAAACATAATTATTTTTTCGGACACCCTGTGTTTTATGATGATAAAAATCAGTAAAGGTGTTTTTTAAGTGATCGTGATTCAGAATCCATCATTGTTTTTTGTGAAAAAAAAATCCCTAATAGTACTTTCTCAAATATGGGTCAATGAAGTTGGTCGCAGTTGGCCACGATTACAGTTCATGAGTAAAATCACTCTCTTGTTGGATGGACATTTCAAATACCTATCCAACAAAAAAAAGTTTTTTGAAATCGGTCAGATAATAACAATTTTACAGGGGTGGTAAGTCCTTAAGGTGGACACACTGTATATCTACTATATTATTATTCAACAAGCATATATAATGAAAGATCATTGAATGCGAATATGGAATACTACACTTTATCCAGGACTGTTGTATAAAATATTCATAATACATTCAAAGATATGATCGATATGTGCATAGCCCGGCGTGTTCGCCAAAACTTTGAATCTGGTAATTCATTTTATAGGGCTCCTGCCCCTGTAAATTATTTTGTCCACAACAACTATTACTATTGGTGATTTTGCACTCATCATGCGATGTGTAAAACTGGAAAAGAAAGAACTTTTCTCAGTAAACTTTTTTGAAAATCGAACAAATAAGCCGATTAGACAATTTTCCATCATTCTGAAGCAAAACTTTATGCTCATGTCAAATTTTATAATAAATTAGCATTAAAAGTTTTTCTCATATGATGCCAACTTTATGAATGACACTGTATACACTCTTTTCCATACTATGATTAAAGAAAACTGATTTTTGCTTTTGTCAGTTCAACTCTGAAACACTCTGTATAATATTGTATGTCTGTCTTGCATCAGCTGACTATCGATTCACGAAATTTCCCTATAATCTCTTAGTCTTGAGATTCTAGGTTTATCACCCTGTATAATATTGTTTTGCTTATAATATTTCATTTCCACATCGAAGTATTTGTCAACAAACATGATGCCTACTTGATATAATTTTGTAAAAAACCGACCCCTTTTTGATTAATGAAAAGGCATCACAACTGTTCAAAGTCATGATCGTCTCTAATGAATTTTCATATTCATGATTTCTGATACAAGTACAGGGTGATTCACCATAAATGTCCCCCCCCTCTAGCTCACTTATTTTTTATCCGATTCAAAGAATTTAAAAATCATCTGATATGATTTTTCAGAAACTTTTTTCCCGTTGCATCAGAAAATACAGGGTGCTCGGAACAAACGATCTACAGAGTACTTCTTGATTTTTTTTATCGAAAACCCTGTATTTCATTGTATTATTAGATTCTCCCTGGAGAGCTGATTTCATCAATGCATCACACTTGGGGTCTAGCGGGAATGGTTACAGGGATATAGGGTGTTCAAAATCGAGATTTTTCAACTTTAGTATTTTTTTGTGTCGAAACTATTCATTATTCGTCAAAACGGCATCGATGTCCTTTTTTCAACTTTTGATTTACTATCTACTGACATTTAATTGGAACATATACAGTGTGGTTCAAGATTCAGAATTCCGATCACCCTGTATCTGTCCCAATTATGAAATGTCAGTAGATTGTAAAACAAAAGTTAAGTCACGGACATGAAAGTCGTTTCAACCGATAATGAATAGTTTCGTCACAGAAAAATCCTAAAGTTGAAAAATCTCGATTTTGAACACCCTATATCTCTGTAATCATTTTCGCTAGACCCCAAGTGTGATGCATTGATGAAATCAGCTCTCCAGGGCGAATCTAAAAATACAATGAGAAATAGGGTGTTCCATTTAAAACAATCAAATGTAGTGCGTTTGTTACGAGCACCTTGTATTTTCTGATGTAGCGGAAAAAAACTCTATCGGAAATCATTTCAGATGATATTTAAAATTTTGCAATCGGTTCAAAAATAACTGAGCTAGAGGGAGGGGGGGGGAGGGGGACATTTATGGTGAATCACCTTGTACAAAATGGAGATGCATGGATAATAACTTATGTTGAGTAATCTGTGACTGAAAGAAAAAGGGAGGATTTGCAGTAAAACACATACATTAATAACAAATCAATCCGTTTCTTATTTACTATCTATCCTCTTCATCATGATACTTCTCATTGATAAAAATATAATACTTCACAGGATCACTTCCTCTGCTTCCAGAAAATAATCTCCTAGCTATCCTAGGAGGGTAAACAGGTCGATTTGTTGTTATATAAACATCATCAGCCCTCCTGTGCAATTCCTCATTTGTATCACACTGTCTATCACCCCCTTCAGAAAACCTCCTCTCTACAAACCCCTCTTCTCTTGGAAAAGTTACCATGGTAGTACCAGGCTGTACGGTGATATTTATTTCGTCGGGGGATGAAACCCTTTCTATTTGCCTTCCGTAAATATATTCGTCCTTTATTCCAGGATGGTGTTCAGAAGGAGCTGTGCCTACAGATCTATGAAAATTTTGAAAGTTATAAGAAGCTGGAGCTTGTTTTACATCGAACGGTACCGATGGAGCTAAAGTCGAGTAAGAGCTCATAGTTTTCACTGGTGCAGGAAAGATTCCATGAGTAGGTTGGAGTTGCTCAAAATTTTGGCCCATGGGTCGTTGAAAATTTGGTCTAGCTGGGCTGTTCATATTCTTCGTGTGCCGAGTATTCTCGAAATATACCTGAGGATGATGCGGCACCAGCTTTGGTCTGCTATAATGAGCTAGAGGGGGTTGATTTTTGTTCATTGTAGCCGTAGAAGCACCAACTTCTCCGTGTGTAAAATGATGCTTCAGTACAGGATTGATCATATGTTTAGGAAAAGCATGGTTGTGGTTATGTGTGTTTTGGGCATAACGGTTTCGGCTATTGCCGTTTCCAACGCGACCATAGTTTCCAGATTTCATGTTGTTGAGTTTCTGTGATTTCTCCAGATGAATTTCATATATAGCTGGCACTTTCACTACTTGGACGATCTTGGAGTACTCAGAATCGTCGTCCAAATTGTGGAGAACGTTCTGGATTTCCTTCATGTTCATGGGGTTCCTAGCTCGTACAGGTTTCCGTTCAAACTCATCTCTCCACAAATCGGTAGTTTGTGGTCTACTCGTTACAATATCTTGCTGTGGTTGAACAGCTGGAGTAAATGAATCACCTTGAATGGTATCCGCTTGATTTGGTCGAAACTGATCGACCATCACTCGTGGTTGTCTGAGCATAGCTTCATCTTCTGAGATTTGGTGCAAGTGGTTGTTGGTGGAATGGGTGACAGTGGTGGTACTTCTTGGCAAAAGTGCCGACGGTTGACCTACTCCTACACCGTATCCTGCGCCAATGTTTACATCGAAACTGTCACTTACGTCTCGTTTGGAGTGGGTACGTTCTGGTTTTGCTTGGGTTCTGTCCAACAACAGCAGGACAAGAACCTGAAAATGAAATTATTTCAATGGAAACCTTTTTCGCTTATCAAAAAACATCGTCAGCTGTGAATGTGCATTTTTTTATCCGATTAAAAATAACATGATGTTTTGAAGGTTCTTATAAGTCTACGAACCGGTGATTATCTCAAATTTTTTAATACGTCAACCGAAACATGGCATTTCTCTTTTATTGGAAATGCTTTTGACTATGGTACATTTTAAGCTTAACTTGCATACATATTGTCATGTTTGGAAACGGATGTGATGACGTTATGAATATTTTTTTTTCGTAAACATACATATTATTTGCCATATTTGAGAATATTTATTTTTCTGTATCGAGGAAGAAATTTGCCTTCGTTGAAAAATCATAATCAAATTTGAAGAAGAGTATAGCAACATTCGCAATCATCAGGATTCGAACAGGTAGCCCCATAACTTAACCCCAAAAGTTCGAAAAAAATTGCACGATTTCCAGGAACATAAAAGGGATTTGTTTTTGTGCGGTTCAAGTAGAAAGAAATGGAAATAGCATTTTCGCAAAGAATTTTGATAATGCCAATGAGCATTTTCAATTATGG